GGCTAAGAGGTGTTGCACGAACCTCATCCACATAATTAGACACCGCAAGAACCTACCCACAAGTGAGGTAACTCAATGACACGAGCAATCCACTAGAGTTACCTTTCGGCGCTCCGCTTGGGAAGGCACAAGACCCCTTACAATCACCATGATCGGAGCCGGAGACAATCACCAACCTCCGCTCGACGATCCTCACTGCTCCAAGCCATCTAGGTGGCGACAACACCAAGAGTAACAAGTGAATCCGACAGTGAAACACGAACACCAAGTGCCTCTAGATGCAATCACTCAAGCAATGCACTTGGATTCTCTCCTAATCTCACAAAGATGATGAATCAATAATGGAGATGGGTGGGAGGGCTTTGGCTAAGCTCACAAGGTTGCTATATCAATGCAAATGGCCAAGAGAGAGAGCTTGATCCAGCCATGGGGCTTAAATAGAGAGCCCCCACGAATAGAGCCGTTGGCTCCTCTGTCCAGTGAAACACGGGCTGACCGGATGCGTCGGTAAGGTTGACCGGACGCTGGACCCCTGCATTCGGTCGCCTTATGATCGCCACGTGTAAAATTATGACCGGACGCACTGCTGAAAGTGACCGAACGCTCCATTAATGGAGTCTGATCGTTTCCAGTAAGGCACCAGAGCTGGTTTTTCATGACCGGACGCGTCCGATCATAGGCCACCGGACATGGACTAGAGTCCGGTCTGTACTGGCCTGTTCAGATGCTTTTGTCAGCGTACATCATCACCTGACCGGACGCACCCCTAGTGCATCCGGTCCTATTTCTTCTCAGCGTCCGGTCAAAGGACCGAGGGCGGCCTTCACTGCGCACCACTAACCGGACACAGGGTTAGAGTCCGATCACTGCCCAAGGCAGAGTCCGATCAATATGAAATAGCTCCTTTTAACCCAAAACTTCACCACCCTTGATCAAATGTGCCAACCACCAAGTGTATCACCTTGTGCACGTGTGTTAGCATATTTTCACAAACATTTTCAAGGGTGTTAGCTTTCCACTAGATCCTAAATGCATATGCAATGAGTTAGAGCATCTAGTGACACTTTGATAACCGCATTTTGATACGAGTTTCACCCCTCTTAATAGTACGGCTATCGATCATAAATATGATCACACTTGCTAAGTGTCTCGATCACTAAACCGAAAAACGCCTATCAATTTCACATTTGCCTTGAGCTTTTTATTTTTCTCTTTCTTCTTTTCCAAGTCCAAGCACTTGATCATCACCATGGCATCACCATCATCATGTCATGATCTTCATTTGCTTCACCACTTGAAATGTGCCACCTATCTCATAATCACTTTGATAAACTAGGTTAGCATATAGGGTTTTATCAATTTACCAAAACCAAACTAGAGCCTTCAACCAGATAGAGGGAGTCAAGGCGAGCTCAGGGTTACGAGCAATTGAACTGCTACCACTCCTACATGCCTTACCTCCCAACCCACCAATTTGGCGATGCCCATGACCAGCGACGAGCACAAGGCCAAATTATCAGTCGGCAGTGCATGACCGAGCTTGAGGGGAAGGAGATGGCTAGCCTACTTCCTAAGCTACCCACTAGAGCGAGGAATTGAATGGCGAAGCCGCCGGCGCTAGGCAAATTGGAGGGCAGAAAAGCAGAGCTCAAGCCATGGAGGAGCACACGAGTGAGCACGAGCGGATTAAGACGGGCGGCTCTGATCGATAGCTGCAACACGAGCACATGCGCACAGGTGGCGAGACAGTGGAGGGATTGGCGTGACGCGCTTGAAGTGGAGCGACCGAACCCGAGCCGGTCGCACCGGTGTCGGCTAGCGAGGGCAAGTGAGGCAGGAAGGCATCCCATCACCACTATGAGCGGGCCATCGACCAGACATGGTGGCAGCGGCATACACCAAGGGCACGATGCGGTAGGTGATACGAGGGGTGAGGCGAACGCCATGTCAACCGAGCGATGCAGCCGCAACCATGGTGTGGGGCGGGAAAGGCGGCAGCAAGGCAGTAGCGCAGCGACCAGCCGCAGCAGGGTGATGACAGCGGCCAGCCAGGGCCGGTCACGGCCACCCATGGCTAGATAGACCGACCGGGCTCGGCATCGCGGCGCGAGGAACACGGCCAGCCGCACGACGCCGAGCGACTGCGCGAGGTGACCACGCGCACAGGCTAGACATATGATGTGCATGAATTTTAAAGCGAAGCAAAGGCTGCCGATCATCTCAACCGAAGTTCAACCAATCCCACTAACCTAAAGTCAACACTACCAGCTAGCTAGCAGAGCAATTGTCATGACCCGAGAGCAACTAGAGAGGGAGATACAAGGGTGCCAACTTGGGTTCGTCGCCGGAGTGTCGGTTCACAAACAGAGCACCAACAACACGGTTACAACGCGTTCTAAGGAGGGTTGGGCAGTTTTAGAGCGAACAACGTGACATTCAACACAATTTCGACCTATGCCATGCTCAAACACCCACTTTGATGCAATCAACAATACTATAACATGCAACTAGTGTTTAAACATTTTTGTTAGAAATTAAATGTCAAAATAGCATTGTCTTACTACTTTTCCATACTTAGAAAAGTTAAGGATTCAATTCAAACCAATAGCCATTAACACTTTTGTTACAATTTTTAAAAGGCCTAAACCCTATTAACTGCTACCAACAAGTATTTCATGTGATAGTCCATACCTTATACTAACCCAAAGGAGCAAAATATTTAAGCACCATTTAACTATTTTGCTCAATATAATTCGTCAAAAATGATATTTTAACAATAGTTTAAGTGTTTGCCGACTTAACGAAAAGAGCTTATCTTAATGTCAAATTTGATTTTTGAGTTCCCAAAACACTAGTTAACATCTATTTTCCAAAAGTTAAAGTTGCCTTTCCATCTACTAAGCTTGTACTTCAATTTTTATTTAAGTACTAAATACAAGTTATGTTTGATCCTTGTTCCTAGAAATTGTTTTTCGCCTCACGTGCGTTATAAATTTTTAAAACCTGAAAACTTGTTAAGCTAATCCTTCTTAGTCCTAAATTTCGGTGTTAATCAAGCTCGTAACACCAGGGGTGTTATATCCATCTTGTAGGACAGCAACAAAGAAAAACATAAAGGACTAATTCAGATATATATGAATCAATAATTACTTGGAAGAATATAACTAGTTTTAGAAGGCCATGCTTATTTCGATTAGAAATATAAATATATGATGCCTCTCAACCACTATGTGAGAGAAAAATTAATGACCTCATTATCCACACCTAATTAGAAATATATATGTCTCCACTTTCTTGTTTTTAATAAACAATTTCAAAGAAAATAATTATCAACAATTAGCATTTCACCCACTATATCCTTCATGCAAACTTAATCCCGTTTTCTCATTTTCTTAATTATAATAAACAATTTCAAAGAAAATAATTAGCAACAATTAATATTTTACCCACTATATCCTTCATGAAAACTTAATCATGTTTCTCCACTTTTTTATTATAATAAATCATTTCTAAAAAATAATTAGCAACAATTAATATTTTACCCGCTATATCCTTCATGCAAACTTAATCACGTTTTTCACTTTCTTAATTATAATAAACAATTTTAAAGAAAATAATTAGCAACAATCAATATTTTACCCACTGTATCGTTCATGCAAACTTAATCCCATTTATCCACTTTCTTGATTATAATAAACAATTTCAAATAAAATAATTAGCAACAATTAATATTTTACCCACCATCCTTCATGCAAATTTAATCCCATTTATCAAACAAAAGATAATATGAATGTTATTAGCAAAACAAAACCAAACCCTAGTTCTAGATCTAGATCAACATCCATAAAACTAACTAATAGTCAACTAAAATCAAGGAAGAACCACTAAACAAGGGTACAATCTTGTTCCCCTAATTAATTTATCCTAGTACCTTCAAAACTTTGGTCTAATTTGCTCCATGAATGGCTCAACCACCATATAAGAGAGATAAAGTCAAAACTTTAATTAAGCACCAACCTTCTACAACCTCCTCCACAAAAGGAATCGAAATTAAAACATTTCCCTTAAAAGACCACTTTTTGGGAGGTGCCCAAGCCCTCTTCTTTTTTTTATGAAAGTTATATCTTTAATCTTTAATCTTTACAGGAGGGCTATATGATAGCACCATATCTAACCCCGCAATAAACTATTCTAACTTTATAAAAAAAAAAGAATGCAATAAGCGATCCTTTCCTTCTATTATGGATGGTATATTAAAGAAAAATTATATTTACTTTGATGGAGAAAGATAAACCAATAAGAAGAAGACTGATAGAAGTAAGAAGACTGATAGAAGGTTTAGCGTTGTAGCTGTTTACGCTAGAGAGCCTCGAGCACACTATTTTTTAATGGGTAAGATTTTGTTGAGAGGAATAGTTTAAAGTTGCTGAAGTCTAATGGCTTATAGGTTCCAGATTTGATGTAAGTTTGTTTGGGATTGCTCTGCTTCCATTTTTGCAGCTCCGCTCCACCAACTCTACCATGGAGTAGCTCTACCGTGGAGTTTGTGGAGCAGGTGGTACTGTTTGGCACACAACCTAGCTCTAGCTCCAGGAATGGGCTGTTTACATGCAAATGGTCCATTATGTCCCTGATTGAAATTGCACTTGATATTTTCCGAGAAAAATAGAAAATAAATGATAGAAAATTTGTTGGGGCTACATATTTGTTATACCTTTCTGGATATAAGTGTATGCTTGCTTTTACTAATTGAAATATGATGTTAAAATACTATAAATACAAATACTTTATTAAAACATATATTACAAAACATAATTCACACTATAAAAGAGCGAGTTTTTTAGGGGGCTCTCTCTCTGTAGTAACCGTTCGATCTAGACGTCGTGTTATTTGAGCCGTCCGTCATCCGAGATCTTACATGTAAGACGTAAGATTTCCCCTAACCGTTCGATCTAGGTATCGTGTTATATGAGCCATCCATTGTCCAAGATCTTAATTACCTTTCTGAGTTCTTGCCCCTTACAATTTGGACCCGATCCCATCTCGACAACCCCGTGTTGCCGCCGCCGCCGCACGAGTGCACGACGACTACCACAAGCGCCAAGCCCGCGGCCGGATGGCACCTCATGGCAGCGATGAAAGGGAGGAAGGCGGCGGCCATCGTCGACTTCGCCGGAGAACAGGTGGGATCATTGGGTGCTCGTGTGCCCGGCTGCCCGCGGATCACGGCGTTCGCAACGATCTGGTAAGCTACTGCCGTTGTCATGGCCATATTGTAGAGACCCGTCTGCCCCATACACATGCATGCATGCTTGATGTAATTTCAATAAGTATCAGCATGTAGCAACATGCATACGGTCCAGATATAAACATGTTCGTGCTTTTGAAAATACTCTAATAACTATATAATTAAAAAACATAGACATCCACATATATATGCTACGCATATATACATCCATGTATGTACTATACTCTAAGCTAGGCTTCGATTGCATTAACCTGACGTGCATGCTAGAGAAATAAAAAATATATATGGCCATTAGAATTATCACGTAGCCGGTATGTGAATATGCATGCTAGAGAAATAGAAAAAAAAACTATGGCCATTAGAATTAATCAGGTGTGCGTACGTGAGGTAGGCTCAGAAAGAAAATCGGTTTTTGCATTAATGAGTGGAAGTGTGGGTAATTTCTTTCCAACTACATAAGGAGGTATAAATGTCTAAATTATGGAGTATCTCTTAAGGTGCTCCACAAAAAAAGTGGGGTTGGCCTCAAACTCTATCTTTTTCTTAGAGCAGAGTTCCTAGAGTTCTTGGAGCAGAGTTCCTAGAGTTGAGAGTGTTTGGCAACGCAGAGCTGGAGCAGAGCTGCGAAAACGAAAGCGGATCAGTTCCAAACACCCCCTAAATGTGAATGTATTTTGTATGATTGTTATGGTAATTAGAATCAATTTGTCAGGGAGGCAAGGGACTTGTTGTCAGATACTTGGACGTTGAAATTGCACCCATCGCAGATTTTATATTTCCAAAAGAAGACTTTAAATTCCTTACGTATATGAGAGATAATGGAAAGTATATTCAATTACAATGGTATATACTACAATATGTTTATTTTTGTTATTCATTATTGGTCACATCTTATTTTATTATTTATGTTTATAATTTCTCTCTGTTTGTTTTTCACTCATTATTAGGTCTCACTCAGTTGGGTTGAGGAAGTATAAACCTTTAATTAGCCTGTGCACACTCGCTCCTTTACTCACATAGTGTTGTTTTTGTTTGTGGGTAGTAATCCTGTATTTTCCATATCAGTACGATGAAGAGGTAGATGAGGGGGTGGGTTCTTATTGTGTTGATGGGTGGGGGTGCGAGATGAGAGGGTGTGATTTTGATGGGCATGAGATGAGGGATAACTATTTCAGAGACTTTCTAGTTCTTATTTGATAGGATGCTACTCCTCCAAACAGGAAAGAGAGAGAGGGAGAAGATTAAAAAGATAAAATTGAGATGAATAAGGGACAAAAATTATGGGGGCAAGTGAGAAGAGTTCAATTGAGTCACCTTCTCACGACCCATTGGGTCCTTTATATTGAGAAGAAGGGGGTTGGTAGTTTGACACCAAGCCTCTGATGGGTACATTATTTACAAATAGACCCTTAGGCTTTTGCATAAGGCCCAAGGCATGTTTCCTTCATGGGCTAGGCCATTTCCCCAACAGTAGCCCCTCAACATTAGTAGGGGCGGCTGGTTATCCAGTCGTTCCTACAAATGAAGCAGTAGAGACGAGTAGATACGATTGGAACTACCAGCCGCCCGTACAAATGGAGCAGTAGAGGTGGCTGGAACTACCAGTCGCCCTTGAAAATGGATCCATTTTTAGGGTGGCTGGTAGTTCCAGCGGCCTCTACTGATCCATTTGTAGGGGCGGTTGGACAGGTGGGACCCAAGCGCTGGCTCTATAGGGACGGCTAGTGAGGGAGTCGCCCCTACTAAAAAATAGAGGCGTTGTCACAAATCATTTCTGTAGTAGTGACTTGGGTTTAGGGTTGAACTTCTCTGCCAAGCATTTAGAGTTGTGAATGTGGTTTAAGGATTAACGATTAGGGATTAGGAGCTAATCGAAGGCCCCATGAGCTTAGAGTGAAACTGTCGTGGTCGTGGTTCAGTCTTTCCAAAAAAAAGTCGTCATATGGTGGTTCCAGTTGCTAGGGTTAAGGCCATGATTCCAGAGGACAAAGGACAATGACAAGGAGTACGTGAGGCCATATTAACGGTGGCTAAGACAGAGAGGGACTAGAGGGGGCTTAGCGCCTTAGCCCCTCTAATATTATTGTTTTTCTATTACATATCTCTTAATTATCTAAGATACAAATTTAAGATAAAATGACCCCTACAAATATTGCCCCCCTAATCTCGAAGTTTTGGCTTTGGCACTGCATGTCAACTTTGGCACTTCATGTCAAAAAGGATATCAGTTCACATAGGAGGTGCTTGGTTTGTGAAATAAAATACTCTATAAATATCTCATTCTTTAGTTTTTTTGTTTGGTTTGTAGAATAGCATCTCATTTCTCATAAGCTAATAATTAGTATTAGTATGATAAATAAAAACATTTCACTAAATTTTAAAAATAGACTCATAATACATCATACTATCTAGAATACAGTAGGTTTGATTCCTAATACCAAACATACCGTTAGCGACAGAGGACGTAGAGGGAGCTGCTGGACAGGAGAGGACTTGTCGATTTTGATGGATACGAAGGGTCGCGAAGCGGTTGTGAGCTGAAATTTTTAGCTTCTACCGGCTTGCTACAGTGCCCTGTGTCTGAAGCGGTCGTGAGCGCCACCAAACAGGCCCGAAGACCTGAGTTGTTTCTGCCAGAAACACTTTTCACCAGCTACAGTACGCACAAACGCTGTAACCATTCGGCGCTCTTTGCATGGCGACCGATGAAACGAGACGGGGGAGAGCGACAAATTCACTGTGTAACTTTACCGCGTGTCCCCTCGCGACGCAACAGCCAGTACTCGTATCCTCCTTTGGTTGCAGCGCAGGCTGGGCACGAGACTAGCTGCACAGAAGAGAAGCGGAAAAAGAAAGTTGAAAGCGAGCGTCAGGGTCAGGGTCTCAGGGACATGTCACGATTCATGGTTCGTATACGTACAAACTCAGGGATCACCCTATACTCCTCTCTAACCAGAATCTTGTGCAATGTTAATGCACCAACGCACCCGCCACGAGGAAGCATCCATCAGTTCAGGATGCTGTCCATTTACGGAGATACCAGTTGCTTCAACATGCAAAACTGCTGCCTTCTGGAGCTGAAATGACGAAGGAAACTAGTAATTCAGGGCAACTCGTTAACTTGGTGATGGGGGCATGATATTTAAGGTTCACTAGCACCACATTGGCCAATGTCGCCATTACAGAAGCACAGAACCAAACACGTGATTGCATAGCAATCAAACTCAGTCCAAGTCTTCTGTATAGATTAATAACAATTGCTATGTAATCCAGCAGATCAGGCGCAATACATAGGCGCCTCCCAAAAGCTAATGCCAGCAGTGACTAACTAAATATCCCATGGATGTACCATCCATACTAGGCATAGTGAGTGGAGGCGAGGACTGCAAAACGCTAGGAGTCTCGCTGAACCTAATTGCTTCTTAAGGCTCTCATAAGTGAATTAGACTTTTCAGTGGCTGGCCGCAACAACTTCATTCCTGCCGAATGGAGATCCCGATGGAGCAATCAGAGCGAGGGTTTGCATGATCCTGATTTGCCTATTCCGGCGTGCACTAAGTTGCCCCGGTGTCATCACTGCTGTTCCCCTGCTCTGAGGAAATTTCGTCAAACTAGCAAGTAAAATTTGAGATCATAAAAGCAGTTGGGAAGTGCGGGTGTGGGCAACGGGGTCAACTTACAGGGGCATTGCTTGATTCACCCTCCACTCCGCTACCACTCTGCTTGAGGCCTCGTCCGCCTTTCGTAGAAGCATCACCACTACCAATCACACTGTCAGTAGCATTACAAATGCCATTAATCACTTCATCCACATAAGCCATTTCAGCATCATGCTCCTTGTCAATAATGTCCTTGAACAGTATATCCCTGACCATAGCTTTTATTTCAGTATGCTTTGAACCTCGAGCTGCACCTTCGCTTCCAAGTATATCAGTGAGTGGTTCTGTATTACCCTCAGCTGCATCTAGATATTGCTTGGCATCAGAGCGAGCTGATTGTCTCAACCCTTCCCTTCTGCCTACCGAAGCACTTTGAGCAGCATACTTCTGTCTCTTGTTCCTTAAACCTTCAGCTGAACTGTCACTATAATCTTTACCATCATGAGTAGAACTTGATTGTCTTGCACGCCCACCCTTTCTTTTCCGAGCACTTCCAGTAGTTGCATTGCTCCCAGCATTTTGGTCTTCCTCTTCATTATATTGTTGCTTCAGACCTTGTTTTCTGGCTTTTCTAGAAGAGGTCTTCTTTGAGGTCCCTTTGGAATCACCGCCTGAAAATTGAATTAAGAAAATTCAGATGTATAGCAACTGAAGTAAAATATAATTTGTGTCATTGACAACAAGTTCAAAATTGAACTTATTTCATAAAACCAAAAGCTTAAGTGAATAAAGTTACATGTTGCATATCTGATATTTAATGAAACCATTGTTTATAACAATTAACATATGATGTTTAAGCAACCATAAGATGGATTGTATTTACATAAACACTATGCCAGATAGAACATGTTCCTAAAAATGACGAATTTCAATAAAAACTGAAAATATCCTTGTCACAAGAATCATAATAGAAAAGAGAGCGGTGAATAATCAAATGATCAACCACAAGGAAAACCATGTTGAGTATACAGGACGCATATGCATTAGATTGCACAGCAAAGAAGAAAATGTTGACCTTTTGAGTTGACAGCTTCCTCTTCATAACCATCCTCATAATCACTGCACGAGTTAACGCCAGAGAGCTCCTGCATCATTGGATTAAACAAATCTCTCAAAAATTTGTACTTACCCATAACATATCTACTGTAAATTGTGCAGGTGACTGCTCTACCTTCTCAAGCACATCACGGAATGCTTCCATTGCGCTCTTGTTTTCTTGCTTCAGCATCTGCATACATTGAATTTATATGACAAATCCTAATTATCACCACTATACAGCAAGATCCATATCTGCCCATATGAGACAGAAGCTTATGCATACCATTTCAAATTCCAAGTTCGACTTCCAAGGGTCTACATATAAGCTGAAAGTAAAACAACAGAAAGAATTTAAAAAATACCACAACGAATATCATTACAGAAAGAGAAGAAAACTCTAATGTGTCTTAGGATCCCTTACTATTGACATGTTCCATAGAGCCGAACTAGGCAATCATACTTGTCTTTCTTCTTAGGCTTGCTACCAACACATGATTCATCAATGACCTTGAATTCAGAAAGAGAAATTGAGTGTAATTAGATGCAGGGAAAACTAGAGTCCAGAACAAGTAATAATAAAGATAATAGTAAAAAAACTGTCCCTAAACTTGTCCCGAGTTCCAAACAAGGTCCACAAACTCTAAAAAGGGCGTACCCAGTGCAGAGAGCTCCCGCTCTGTGTGGGGTCTAGGGAAGGGTGTTAGTGGCAAGCCTTACCCTCGCCTGTGCAATGCGAGGAGACCGCGACTCGAACCCAGGACCTTCCGGTCACAGGCGGTAAGACTCTACCGCTTGCACCAGGCCCACCCAAGTTGCATATTCTGGATATGTGTCATGCCACAGTGGCACTTGCGTTGCTCCTTGAGGAGTTTTGGGGCCTATAATGTGTTGGTATTTTATGAGTTAGGACCTAACACACACACACAGCCAGCCACGCAGGCAAAAGTATTAAAAGTACCTACTAAAGTATGAGTATATTATTTCTAAATCTTTTACTTATTATTATATTAATCTGGTATTTTTAACCCTTTCAATTCTGTTTTGTTTTATTGTTGGTTTACTTGAAGCTTCTAAAACTTGTTCCTCAGGATTTCAGATATTTTATCTGACTTCCTTGCATCATAATACATCCTAGAATTTTCCCTGAAATTTCTAGAGGTGTTTGAATGTTTTATGTCAAGGGCGTCAAACCCCCGACAGGCAGGGCCCCGGCTACGGAGCTCGTAGCCGTCGGCCGTCTTCTCCGGTGAGGTTATACCCCTCTACCGTAGGCTTAGGGTTTAAGGAAGGAAGAGATAGGAGATAATAATCTTGCTTAATTCCTCAAGGTGCCGAGTACAATCTTAAATAGCCGTATGGTTTGCAACTCAAAAGGAAACCAACCTCCTAGACATAAGGAAATAACTAACTTGATCTATTTCTAATCCCGCGCGCGTTGTTGCTGCGGCCCCTCTGCATCGCTGTGACTGAGCACAGCTTTTATGGCGCTTCGTGACCGGACGACATCGTCAGCGTCTGGCGCCTCCACCGTGTCTGCGGGATGCCGCGACATGACATCTCCCCCCTCGACGACCGGCTCGTCCTCGAGCCGGAAAGGTGGTACTTGGTGACGAAGTCGGCCTTGTCTTCCCATGTAGCGAGAGGATGCGGTTCACCCTTCCAGCAAGACGAGCACTTGCTGGGCGCCGCCACACAGCCGACGGCCCGAACAATCTTCTCTCGGTTCGGGGACGACCGCGCCATGATGAACCGGCGGTAGAGGAGGTGGAGTATCTGGTGCTGGTCCAATCCACTTCTTCAGAAGGCTCACGTGGAAGACATCGTGGATCTTGGCGCGTGGAGGCAACTCAAGGCGGACAGCAACCTCGTTGATGAGTTCCGGGAATGATGATCTGGCCCAAAATACTTGGGTGGAGCTTCCCTTTGACAATGACGGCCGGGACGCCATCGGGCGTTAGCGAAAACGGAGAAGAACCCGATCCCCCCGGCAGATACGCCACCCGTCGGTGTGACTTGTCGTGACGCAGCGCTTCAGGTGGCCTCGGGCTTGCTCCGGCGATATTTGGCGTCCTCCAGAAAGCGGCGCGTTCGCCATGGTCTTAGCGCATCGCCGCCGCCGCGCGTGTGTCGCTGGCTCATACAACCCGATGGTGGGGGGTCGCGGTAGTAGACCACCCGGAAGCGGCGTCTCCGCATGATGGACGATCGGTAGGCGATGATTGTAGGTGAACTCCGCCCATGGCGACCACCGAGCGATCGCGCTGGGCGGTCGCCGGTGAAAAGCAACGGAGGTACATGGCGATGACTCGATTGGCGCCTCATGCATCGTCCGCCGATTGCGGGTGGAAGGCCGTTGTCATGTAAGCCGGCGCCCATGAGACGCATGAGCTCCGCCGAATGTGGAAGTGAAGACGGGGTCCCTATCCGAGACCATGGATCTGCGGCATACCATGGAGCCGCACGATGTCTTTGAAAAACGCCCGGCATGCAGACGCTGCAGTGTAAGGGGTGAGCCAAGGGAGAAAATGACAATATTCTTCGAATCGGTCCACCACCGTCAAGATAGCGGACTTCCGCGCGACACGCGGAAGAGCCTCCATGAAGTCGAGGCCGACGTCAAAGCCGACCCCGGTTGGAACCGGCGAGGGCAGTGAGCAGCGGCACGTATTTGGAGGTGCTCGGTCTTGAAAGCGGCGGCAAGTAAGCGCAGCGCGCCACGAAGTCCCGGACGCGTCTTAAGCGCATCTCGGGGAAGTGGAAGTCACGCGGGGGGGTGTGAAGCGTCTTGTTGGGCCCCTTCGTGGCCATCCTCATGCCGCAGCGACAAGGAGCTCCGAGATGGCAATGGCGAAGATGGCGGGATGTAGAGCCGGCCATCAAACATGACCATGCCGCCATCGACCACGGACCACGGCGCGCCACGGTGGCTCGCTGCTATCTCTTCTCGGGGGCCACCACCGGATGGATCCTCCGCTTGAACATGGCGAAGGCGGTCCACGGTCGAACCGAGGGGCCGATAGTGCGGGATGGCCCCATCGTCCGTGTCGCGGCGAGACAAGGCGTCCCCGCCACGGTGTTAAATTGCGCTCGCTTGTATTCCACCACAAAGTCGAAGCCAAGGAGTTTCCCACCCAATGGTCTTTGGGAATTGTCGCGGCGTTGATCCAAAGCAGTACTTCAAGTCGTAGTGGTCGGTCTTCACGACGGCGAACGCCCCCACAGTCACGGACGCCAATGATATGAATGGCGTGGGCGAGGCCGATCAGCTCCCGCTCATAGGCGCGCGAGAAGCGGTGGCGTGGCGCGACCGGCCGGTGAAGAAAGCGATCGGATGGCCGTCTGGATGAGCACCGCGCCAAACCCATGTGAGGACGCGTCGCACTCGACGGTGAATGGCTTGGTGAAGTCGGCATGGCGGCGAGGACGGGCGCCGTCGTGATGGCGGCCTTGAGTGCCGCATGAACGCCGCCGCCGCGTCGTTGTTCCGGAGAACCCTCCTTGAGGAGTCTGCGTCGTGGTCTGGCGGCGTCGGTGCGTAGTTGTGCACAAACTTGCGGTAGTAGCCCGCAAGAGCCGAGGAACCCGCGGATCGCCTGAGGAAGCGAAGAAGTCTTGGCGATCGGCGATGGCTTGCACCTTGGTCGGATCCATGGCGGCGCCGACCGCGGAGATAGCGCGTGCGAGGTAGGCCACGAAACCTCCCAAAGGCGCGCTTGTGCGCTTTGCGAAGAGGTGGTGCCGGTGAACTCAAGGAGAGCACTATCGCGCAGATGACGAAGGTGGTCGGCCCACGAGCTGCTTTGTAGATAAGAATGTCGTCAAAAATACCAACACAAAAGCGCCGAAGGTAGGCCCGAGTATCGTCGTTCATGAGGGGCGAAAGGTCGCCCGTAGCGTTGCACAATCCGAAGGGCATGACCAGGAATTCGTGAGAGGCCATCATGCGTCACGGAACGCCGTCTTGTGGACGTCGGCGGGACGCATCGGACGCGACTGGTGGTAGCTCGACCGGAGGTCGAGTTTAGTGAAGAAGCGGGCGCCATGGAGTTCATCAAGCAACTCGTCGACGACGGAATCGGGAAGGCGTCCTTGACGGTGGCGCATTGGTATCTGTAGTCGATCTTGCAAGCGCCATGAGCCATCCGCCTTCTTGACGAGGAGGACCGGGAGGAGAAAGCGGAGTCGCTGCGACAAACGAGCCCTGTTCCATCATGGCGGCGCGCCTTGGCGTCCGGCTTCGTCCTTGTCGCCCTTGAAACCGTAGGGCGGACCGCGGATCGGGAGGCGCCCGGCTTGAGGGCGATGCCGTGGTCGCGGAAGGTGCGTGAAAGCGGAAGGCAGCGGCTTCGGCGAAGACGTCGGCGAACCCGCAAGCGGCTTCGTCGAGGAGTGGCCTTGTTGGGCGTCATGCAACCTGAGTCTCCGGGTGCTCGAGGCGACCACCGGGCCGGCCGGACCATGCCGCTTCTGGCGGCTGAAGGAGACCGAGCCATCGACGAAGTCCCACCACACCGACGGCGGCGTGGCCATCCACTGCGCCAATTTCAAAGACCAAATCGTGTCCCGCAAGGGGCATAACAAAGAGGTCGACGGCGAAAGCGATGTCGTGGATCACAAGGGGGGCGTGCCTGATGACCCCTGGGCACGGCACCTTCTCGCCATTGGCCACCATGGCCGTGAGGCGTGGTCTAGCTTGGATGGATAGGCCGGACCGCGCGCGCTGCCGTCTCGGCGATGAAGTTGTGTGGTGGAACCGGTGTCAAGGAGGCGATGGCGGGGTCGAGCCCACCATGACGCGCGGACGCATGGTCCTTCCCACAGTCACGCCCGACCGCTGCGTGCGAGGAGAAGATCGGCGCCTCTGCGCTATGCGGCGTCCCTCCCCCGATGTCGGCGCCCGCGTCTGTCCGTCGTCGATCTCTCGCCGTCGAGGAAGAACAAACGTCGGCGAGAATCTGTTGTGGCAGCGGGAGTACTTTTCATTGCGGTTGAAGCACAACCCTTGGCGGCGGCGGCGGCCATCTCCTCCGGGGTGGTGGCGGCGATTGCCCTCGTCTGACCTATTGGCGGCCGCCGGTGGCGCCGGGAGTGCCAAGAGAGGCGGTGGGGAAGCGGCATGTTGGCCGGACGCGAGGCGGTGGACCGCGCGGAGCGCTCCGGTGGAAGAGGCGCTGGGCGCCTAGTTCCATCAACTCGACTGTCGGCCGAGCTTATGGCGGGCGGCGAGGGAGTCCGGGTTGTGGATGCGGACGGCGTTCTTGGCGGCGGCATGAGCCCTCCGGTGAAAAAATTTGGACCAGCTGCGCCTCGTCGTCGAGCCGGCCGGCCGTAGCGAGGGGAGGTCTCAGAACCGGTTGGCATACTCCTCCACGGGCCCGTCTGGGGTGCACTCCATGAGCTCGAGCAATGAATGAGCGGAAGCGAAGGGGAGGACCAAACGCAAATTCAAGATATCCTTGAAATTACCCCACGTTGGCGCAAATCATCGCCCTGCGGTGGATGAACCATAAGCGTGCGGCGTCGTCCGGATGATAGGGGCGCCATGCGCACGCGCGCTCTTCCGCCATGGTGCGATGTTGGCGAAAAGTAGGCCTCGCACTTGTTGAGAAACGAGATCGGGTCGGACGTGCCGTCGAAGTGGGAAAATCCCACTTCTTGTGCTTGGTGGAAGTCCATTTCGCGCGGCCCTTGACCTGGCCCTCTCGCTTCTCTCGGTACCGTCGAGGCCTTGTCCTTCATGGAGGCCATGTCGGCCTTGTGGTCGTGATCTCGGCAGACATGTTCTTGACTCCTTGAAGAGATCGGCGATGGTAGGCTCGGCCATGGTAGCGATGGGGTTCTGGGGGTGGGCCGCAGCGTGATGATAGATGGCGGTATTGGTGGTGGTGGTGGTGGTGATCTGGTGGAAGAGATGGATCGGGATGGGCGTGAGAGGATCGGTGACGTGTGATACCGAGTTGTCAAAGGCGTCAAACCCCGACAGGCGGGGCCCGACCACGGAGCTCGTGGCCGTCGGCCGTCTTCTCCGGTGAGGTTATACCCCTCACCTTGAGCTTAGGGTTTAAGGAAGGAAGAGATAGGAGATAATAATCTTGCTTAATTCCTCAAGGTGCCGAGTACAATCTTAAATAGCCGTCTAATTTTGCAACTCAAAAGGAAACCAACCTCCTAGACATAAGGAAATAACTAACTTGATCTATTTCTAATCCACAGCCTGCACCTGCATATTCTGCGGCCCCTCTGCATCTGTGACTGAGCACAGCTTATAAGGCTCGTGACTTGCGGGACTTTTATCAGCGTCTGGCGCCTCACTTTCAGTGTCACGGGATGCCGCACATGACATTTACATATGCTAGCAAGAGTTATCTGGATTGTTCCTTCAACTGAAAACCTATTTCAGGAATTTTAAAAAAACTTAACTAAACTAAACCTGGTCATCAACCCACATGGAAGGCACAGTAGCAAGCCAGATAGGCAGTTGGGCTGATGTGGACCAGTTGGGCCTACCTGAAAACCCAGGACATGTTTAAGGTCCCAAATATGCATTTTGAGAGTTCGTAGATTTGAATGAGATCAGGCCATCTGGGATAAGTTCAGGGCCTGCTGGTAAAATTCAGTCTAAAAAACTATTGTCTTCACTTCAGATCAAACATATGCTGAGGTGATGGCAGATGAACTATAAATGTTGTTCATTTCAATCATTGTGATAAATGTTACTGTTCAAAACTTCAAACACAAATGTCAAGCTATAACCCTAGTCAACTTTAGATTCTTCCTATTTAAAAAATAATATGTCCAGTGTTTAGTTCTGATGTGCCGTAAGCAACAAGGACATCGGTCATTAGCAACCTAAACTGCTATCTAGTTACGCGAAACAAACACACTTTCTGCACTAAGATATATGCTACCAAGGTGCAGTGTCATAACTCATACCTGGGCTGGCCACCATGAAGAGCCACTGCACTTAACCCATGTTATATCTCCCAATCGAAAATTGTGTCTTAACTTATTTTCTGGACCAGTGTCATGATCTTTATCTGCATTTTCATTCACCATACTGATCAATGCAAACCTGCACCGCCATGAGATAAGAAAAATGTTAGAGAATTTCCACTAGGGAAGCTGGTTGATTAATGGAAATGATCCACCAAAAGATCAATTTCAAGCATCTGCAAGGATAGCTCGGGCAGCTGCACTACCCATCTGATGCTGAAACCAGTTTTCTGAAAGGCTACAGCTCAATTTATGCTTATATAAGCCTCAGATGTACTCCTACACATGTAACCCATATAAAGGGATTTACAGGAAAACCTTGGTAAAATAGGTGATTCAGTTATGAGTTATGAAAATCGTACAGAACACATGTGATCTTGACATCCAAGGCTATACCAGTGTTTTTTTTTCTTTCTTTTTTGAAGCTAAATATATGTATTTCCATCCAATATGCACTAAAATCAAGCTAGATTCGCCCACTACATGTTCAGATTCACAAGGAGCTTCTCAGTGAGGCAGCAAGCCACACAGCCCCCACTAATGCAACACCATCTAGTACTCAATTACTACTTTCCTAAACCAATGGCTGCTGCCGGATGCAAAATCATGAAAGTATCATGACGTTTCAACATTTCACAGTTCAAAAAAGTAGAAATCAGGGGGCTAGCTTGAGATATACTATTAATCAGAGAACAGCCCTGGTTGTACACAGAGAACATTAGGCAACACGAAAAATACAGCAAAGAAAGCATATGTTCTTCATCATCTCCGTCACTGCCCGGTCGCCAGATATCAACAGCAGCGGATAAAAGAGGGGATGGCCACAGACGCTCGGAAGCACATGATCTAGATCTACCAAAGCCCAACGAAGGGAGCTCACTCAACCCAGGAGAACAGGGGCGGACCCAGTAATACTATTTTGCAGAAAATCGAAGTTTGTAGGCATGTATACACTTGTAAATAGGTCGGATCTGACTACAAAATGCCCAAATAGCTTAAGTTAGGGTTCGGGTGCTCGGTTTCGCACAGCAGGAACGGAAGAGAAAGGGTGCGCAGTACCTGGTGGGTGCTCGTCGCTGGCGAAGGACCCGACGAAGGCCTGGGCACCTCGCGTCGGCGTCGGCGGGTCGCCCAGTTGCCGCACGAGAGAAAGAGCCCGCACGCCGGCTGAACGGCAGAAGAAAAAGGTTGAGAAGTGATGAATCACAGTTGCGGGGGCGGGAGGACGGTGACAGTCGCGGGGATGCGCTCGAAATCACAGTCGCGGGGACGGAGGTAACTCGCGTATTACCTCTCTCTCTCCCCGTCTCCTGGGATAGGTCGATAGGACTAGGACGTACTGCAGCTAGACTGATCCGGTGGGGAATGGGCGGCAGCGGTAACGGGGAAATGACCGCACTCGTATTTGCCCCTCACGGATGTGCTTCTTTGTCGAACGCGCAAATGCGATTAGGAGCTCATTTGCACGAGCGGGCATTTCGTACGCCGTTGGATTCAGGCGTGCGGCGAGCGATGGCCCTGTTCACCAGCAGTACTTAGTGACATAACAAATCAGCATAATCATCAACGTAAGTTAAATTTCAGCGAAATAAACAATTTTAGACAGAAGTACAACGGATGTCAGTCATACCACTGGAAAAAAAAAAGATCAGGCATGAGGGCATTCATGAGCAGTGGCAGAGCTGCCTCTTTAATTGAGGGGGAGGGGGTGACGAGGACATCACTTCTTTAGATGTACCAGTTGATCCTTCAACCATCATGTAAGGTCTAATGATCCGGGCTCGAATGCGTCAACTTAATTTAAAGATGAGCTCATTCTTAAACAATCATTTTCATACTTCTGAGAATAGACTACTACCTAATGATTTTATCTTGCTTAGTAACATTGGAGAGGGTCAAGAGGGACTAAGAGGATGTGGAGGAGGTGATGATGACCAGTAAGGACGTCCAACACGAACTGGAGGCTTAGTCCAACATGATTTCGAGTCTGCCTCGGCCTTCAGGACTAGTCTGCCTTAAACTGGTCAACTAGGACACATCTGGACTCCGTTTTCGACGATTCACATATGGATGGAAAGCTAATTTGATAAGGAAGCCAATCCAAGTGGTCTCACGTCAAAAGCTGTTCGGAATCAACGGAAATAGTGGTCACAAGACGGCGTCCAGAATCTGCTAGGGTGCTGCGACACCGTCTTTTGATTCATTGGACCATGTATCGTGTTTGGACCTATTAGGGTTTGGGGTTTTGCTTAGATTATTCTGTCAAGAACAGTTTCGCCGTCCATCGGTCTGTGAGACCCCAACTTCGAGAGTTTAATCATTCATCTGCAATTTAGTTGTGTTCTTTCTTGTTCTTACTTGTGTTCTTCGTTGCGCAGGCAGGGATTAGCCTTCTTGGCGAGGTCAACCTGGTCCGTGACTTAGTTAATAACCAAAGGAGCTATGGTGCTAAGATTGTAGGGTTCGATCTTTCGATCTGAAGCCGGATTGGTGTGTCATTCTCCGCCACAACGATAGTTACCACCACCTGACGGAAGATCGGGATCCTCGTCTCCATTAAGTGGTAATCAGAGCTAAGGTATACCGTCAGGTTCACATTTATCCTCTAGTTTTGAGTGTTTCGCTTTCGTCCCATAGTTCAGTGCCATACTTATTTTCCTGTCTTAGAACCTTCCGCACCATAGCCTTTGCATATTTCAGTTTCAGAGACCGTCATGTTGAGTTTGTGTCCTGGTTGAGGTCTTGTTGCTGGTTAGGTCGTGTTTGAGTCCAGTTCGTGTGTTTTCCCCCATCGTTTCCATCAAATCTTGGCTGCTGTGACCAATTTTGCATACATTGTTCCCGTTTTATCCTCTAATTCGGAGCTAGTTCTTAAAACTAGTCTAGTTTTCGCATACGAACTCCGTTTTCGACGTTCCATATATGCAAATCGATCAGAAAAAAATTTTGGATCCGTTCATCCCCGCTTTGTCGGAGATTTTTAAATTGGTCAAAAAGTGGTCATAAGATCCTCTTTTCGTGGTTATAAGGTTTTTGTCGATTTTGACCAAGTTTTCTGAAAATCCCATAGGTCACGTCTTTCATTTGTTTAAGCTCATATTTTCTGTGGTTACTTCTTTTGTGCTTCTAAGTAAAGAAAAAATATCAAAAAAATAAAATAAAAAGTCAAAATTTTCCAAAAAAACAACGACAGCCCAAAAATAAAAAAAAAGAGGGACAAAAGAGGAACAATATTTAGAGGAGCACATAGAGAAGACCAAACTGAGCTGTGTTAGCGTGTGCTGTCTGGTTCCTTGTTTGTGTTGTTGTTTCCATCTACCATACTTGTTTTTCACACACCTGTTACCTTGCTATCCATCATACTTTTGTCATACACCTGGTACTTAGAACATTTTAGACCAGCAACGAGAACAAGTACTTTGAACTATAATTCAATATTATTTTCTGTTACTGACTTGTGTGGCAGATATACATATTAATCTTTGTTTATCTTCCAAGCTCTACAAATTCTTCAGATCAGTACAGACAAAGGGCTTTGCAATCTCGGTACCACTGTCTCACAGGTATCACGAACCAGCCGCCGGTTGTACCGCCCACTGCTTGCGTTGATAAGAACTTTGTAAGAGCTTGGTAAGGCGCCTCCACTTGCTGTGAAAAGTGACACCACTGCAACCACGTAGTCATTTGGTAGGGATAACTTTCACCGTTTGTTCCTGTTTTTGTGTTTACAATGGCAGGAGATGAACAGACTAGAG